TATGAAAAACCAAACTACCTAGCAATAAATTTAATCAAGGAAGTGAAACACCTGTACAAGGAAGACTACAAAACATGTATGAAGAAATTGAAGATAATACAAACAAATGGCAAAATATCGTATGTTCATGGATCAGAATAATTAACATTATTAAAATGGCCATAATAACCAAAGAAATCTGCAGATTCAATCCTATTCCTATCAAAATATCAACAGCATCTTTCCCAGAATTAGATAAAATAATCCTAAAATTCCTATGGAACCAAAAAAGAGCCCAAATAGCCAAAACAATTTGAGCAAAACAAACAAAACAGGAGGCATTACATTACCTGACTTCAAAATATATTACAGAGCTATAGTAACAAAAACAGCATGGTATTGATATAAAAACAGACACATAGGCCAATGGAACAAAATAGATAACCCAGAAATAAAACCACGTATTTACAGCTAAACTGATTTTCAACAAAGGCATGAAAAGACACCCTCTTCAATAAAGGGTGTTAGAAAAACTGGATATCCTTATGCAGAAGAATGCAACTCAACTCCTATCTTGCACTACACACAAAAAACAACTCAAGATAAGATTAAAGACTTAAATGTAAGACTCAAAACTGTAAATCTACTAGAAAAAAACATAGAGGAAACACTTTAGGACATTGGTCTAGGCAAAGATATGGCTAAGACCTCAAAAGCAAAGGGAAGGAAAACAAAAATATAGGAATGAAGCTACATTAAACTAAAAAGCTTCTGCACTACAATGGAAGCAATCATCAGAGTGAAGACAGAACCTGTTGTACTGGAGAAAATGTCTGCAAATTATTCATCTGGAAAGGGATTATTATCCAGAATATATAAGAAACTCAAACAACTTAACAGTTAAAAAATAATAATAATAACCCCATTAGAAAGTTGGCAAAGGACATGAATAGACTTTTCTCAAAAGAAGACACAAAAATAGCCAACCAGTATACAAACAAAAAAATAAATGCTCAACATCACAAATCATCATCACTAATTATCAGGGAAATACAAATCAAAACCACAGTGAAGTATCATCACCACCCTCCTTAAACTAGGATACCACAGGAATTAGGATTAAATATAAATCAATCAATATCCAAATGGACTGTGGCCCAGTTTTGAGTCGTCTGGATGTTTCAGAAAAATCTCAAACTCTGAAACTGTATGAAGATGATCCTCGGTTGGTGCAAGTAGGAGTTAGCAAGAATCAAATTTTAAAATCTTCTACAGTGAAAGATATCATCTTAGGCCTCTAATTGTTTCTACAAATAATTTTTGAATACAATGTCCAGCACACAATTAAACTAGAAACTCTAGGAGATAAGACAAAATGCACAGAAATCAGCAAAATAATGAACCAAAGGAACAAACACATAGGTTCTCCAAACAGTGAAATTCTCAAACACAGACTGTAAAGTACTCATCTTTACTACAACGAAGGAGATAAAGCCAAACCTAAAACACTTGGGAAGAGGCTGAAAGTGGCACAGCAGATTGGAAAAAAGAACAAACTAAAATTCTAGAATTGAAAAATAAATAACTGGAGTAAACAACCAAATTGCTGGCTTTTCTTCTCAGTTACAAGACAGCTGAAAAGAAAATACATAGACTTGATTAAAGGTAAAAATGAATGAATGAATGCACACATACATACATGTATACATACAACCCTAAAAGAGGCATGGAAAAAGAAGAAAGAGAAAAAAGTACAGAAAAGAGACACACACGAGAAACGATCCAAGATGGCTGATCACTAACATCTTGGGATTGCAGCTCCCAGTGAAAGCTCAGAGAACGAAAAGACACCACACTTTCAGACAAATTTTGGTCACTCACAGAGCAGAAGATTCCCAGTGGAGGAGCCCCACGGGTCACCAGCGCGACTCTTGTGGCTGGCGCAACGGTTTCGCAGGCACCTCAGCACGGTAGCTCTCAGTGCAGAGGAAACGGGACTGGTTCCCCTTCTGACAGAGGTTTGGAGCTCCGGGAAGGCAGAGTCGCCTATTATGGACTCAAGAAGGAAGCCAGACTGGAGATTCCTGGGCAGAAAAGCACCATCAGTCTTAACGCCGCTGTTTTGGCCGGTGCAGTGGGTTGCTCATATTTCGGCCCTGGGAATTAACAACTTGGATGTCCACTCAGAGACCTAATTTGAAAGTTGGTAATTACAAAGATGAGGGGTGGATAAATTTACAATGATGGGAAGAAACCAGTGTAAAAAGGCTGAGAATACTCAAAATCAGAACGCCTCTCCCTCTAAAGAGGATCACAGTTCCTCATCAACAAGGGAACAAGAATTGATGGAGAAGGAGTGCATCCCATTAACACAATCAGGCTTCCAAAGATGGATAATAAGAAACTTCTGTGAGTTAAAAGAACATGTTGTAGCCCAATGTAGAGAAACTAAGAAATTTGAAAAAAGGTTTGACAAAATCTTAATGAGAATAGACAACTTAGAGAGGAATATAAGTGAATTAATGGAACTGAAGAATACAATGCAGGAACTCTGAGAAGTATGCACAGGTTTAAACACTCGAATTGTTCAAACAGAAGAAAGGATATCAGAGGTCGAAGTCCAACTTAATGAAATAAAACAAGAAGACAAGATTAGAGAAAAAAGGATAAAAAGGAATGAGCAAAGTCTCCAAGAAATGTGGGACTATGTGAAAAGACCAAATTTACGTTTGATAGGTGTACCTGAGTGCGACAGAGAGAATGAATCCAAGCTGGAAAATATTCTTCAGGATATTACTCAGGAAAATTTTCCTAAACTAGCAAAGCAGGTCAATATTCAACCCCAGGTAATACAGAGAACACCACAAAGATATTCCTCAAGAAGAGCAACCCCAAGGCACATAATCGTTAGATTCACCAGGGTTGAAACGAAGGAGAAAATACTAAGGGCAGCCAGAGAGAAAGGTCAGGGTAATTACAAAGGGAAGCCTATCAGACTTACAGCAGATCTCTCAGCAGAAACTTTACAAGCCAGAAGAGAGTGGGGGCCAATATTCAACATCCTTAAAGAACAGAACTTTCAGCCCAGAATTTCATATCCAGCCAAACTAAGCTTCACAACTGAAGGAAAAATAAAATCTTTTATGAACAAGCAAGAACTCAGAGATTTTATTACCACCAGGCCTGCTTTACAAGAGCTTCTGAAAGAAGCATTACACATAGAAAGAAACAACCAGTATTAGCCTTTCTAAAAATATACCAAAAAGTAAAGAGCATCAACATAAAGAAGAATTTACATCAACAAATGGATAAAACAGCCAGTTAACATCAAATGGCAGTGATCCTAAATTTAAATTGACTAAATCCCCCAATCAAAAGATACAGCCAAAACCCAAAGGCATGTTACATCCAGACCCATTTCACATGCAAGGATACACAAAGACTCAAAACAAAGGGATGGAGAAAGATTTACCAACCAAATGGAGAGCAAAAATAAATAAATAAATAAGTAAAAGCAGGAGTTGCAATTCTCGTATCTGATAAAACAGATTTTAAAGCAACAAAAATATAGTGGTAAAAGGATCAATGCAACAACAAGAGCTAAAGATCCTAACACCCAGATACATAGAGACTTAGACTCAATGAGACAGAAAATTAATAAGAATATCTAGGACTCGAACTCAGATCTGGAACAAGTAAACTTAATAATTATTTATAGAGCTCTCCACTTTAAATACACAAAATATACATTCTTGTCAATACCACATCACACCTACTCATAGGTTTAAATGAAACATTGGCCATTATTAATACCCTTTTTTTTTTAGAATAAAGCAACATTTCTGTTCTCTCTCCCTCTTTTTCCTCCTCTTTCTTCCTCTCCTTCACTCCTTTTTTTTTCTTTCCTTCTCTCAAAAAAAGAAAAAAAGAAATCAACTTGTACACCTCTAGATCCAGGTCAGCAATGTCTCTCTCATTGCTTGATTTCCTTCCTTCCCTTCTCTCCCTCCCTCCCTCCCTCCCTCCCTCCCTCCCTCCCTCCCTCCCTCCCTTCCTCCTTTCCTCCCTTCCTCCTCTCCTCCCTTCCTGCCTTCCTCCCTTCCTAAAAAATAATAAAAATAAAAAATAATTTAAAAAAGAGACACACACAATACAATGAGAAGGTCTAACATACATTTAGCTGGAGTCCCTGAGAATGAGAAAATGGAACGGAAGCAATATGTGAAGAAATAATGGCTCAAACTATTCCAACAACTGATGAAGGACTTTCATGCAGAGTTTCAAGAATCTCAACAAATCCCAAGAGAAGTAAATTTAAAAGAAAAAAAACTATATATAAGCATCTTACAGTAAAACCACAGAAAGCAAGAGATAAAGGAGTCTTAACAACAGAACGGTAACAGAAAACAACTATTCATACAAAACTTTTGGCAAAGTTAAAACCATTAAATTTCTAATTAATAAAAATCCTACAGTGAATAGCGAATTTTTGCCTTTTAAGAAGTGTACGAAGTTCGTGGAAAACCAGAAAATAAGTCCTTCTAAGACAGGACAGGTAATCATATAGAGCCAAGAGGATAAATAGTGGCATCATGTGCAGTCCTGCCTTCCTCCATAGTCTGCTGGGTTCAGCTCTGTTGGTGAATTCAGTGGTCCTTGTCCAGTGGTGCAGAACTCTCAAGTGCTGGGGGAAATTATTTACGACCCATAATAATGTAACTGATATCATTCCTCTATTAACCAATGATGTATAAACTAATTCTCATCAAAGAAATATATATCATAGAACATACTGTGCACGTGGAGAGATTTAAAATACACAGTAGCATATGTTGGGAGAAGAATTAGTGGCAAAGGGTTTTTAAAATCCTTCACTGTTCAAAAGGAGGGTCAAAATATTCAATAAAATTGAATTTTAAGAAAGTAAGACACGCTGTAATCGCAAGGGTATTGCCATTGGTAGGCTGGGCTAATTGCTGTAATAACCCCTCAAATCTCAGTAGTCATGGAATACATGTTACCTTCTTGCCTCCGTCACCAACTAATGCAGATGGAGTGGGACTCTACTCAGGGGTCCAGGTTTCTCCCACGTTTTGGGTCTGTCTCCCCGGGAGCCTCAGGTCCTCCCTGGGATCCAGTATCTGGCTACCGATAAGGAAAGGGCGACAGCAGGTGTGGAGAGTTTTTATGGACCACGCCTATAAGTGGTGGATGTCTTTTATGACCGAATTCCAATAAGCAGAACTGAGCAAACAGAAGGGAATTGGACGAACTCACAGTTTTGTCTCCATCAAGTAACCTAACTGGCGACAGAACGGACAGGTGGAAGGGAGTGTGGGAAGAGGAATGAAGAACAAATACACCCTATCAATCAAAAACAGACAAGAAAATAGAAGAGATGCAAGGGTTTCCAATCCATATTACACCCCTGTCACTCTTGGGATTGTTATTTGGCCTCCCTGCGCCTCGGTTTTATTAACAGAAAACATAAAATACTTCCCAGGGATGGTAAACTAATTCGGCCAGATAACGCAGGGAAAGTGCTTAGCACGCCGGCTGACACGAACTTATAGTGCCTAGATGCTGCTATTTATCACTAACACTTGTCACACCAGGTCGAATGCATGTGTTGGCGGACTTGGGGCTGAGGCTCACGTGAGCAACTTTGGGCGGGGAGGATCCCGGAGCACCACCACCCCGGCCCGACCCCGCCCCGCGCGTAGCCACGCCCACGCGCCGGGGCCGAAGGAGAGGTTGCGTAGCAACGTGTGTTGCTCCCTAGCCCAGGCTGCGGTGGCGGAGGACTGGCGATGCCCAAGAACTCGGTGGTCATCCTGCGCTACGGGCCCTACAGCGCGGCAGGCCTGTCAGTGGAGCACTACACCTTCCGCCTGCAGGGCCTACAAGGTGGGCCTCCTCGCCGCGTGCCCACCTGCGCGCCCCAGCCTCCAGGCATTCGTGTAGGTGGTGCCCTGTACCTATCCTTCCTTCCTCAGACCACAACCAAGCGCCACCTCCCCAGGAAGTCTTCCCACAGCTCCCAATCCGCTGGATGATGTAATATCCATCCTATGGCTTCCAGGGCTTGGATAAAAGAGTGGGAATGCTGTTCTATTCAAGAGTGAGCTGCGGGCCCACCCAGTGCCCAGCACATTACATAAATTACCTCCATAGAAAAAATTACATAACCCTGCTTTAAGAATTGGGAAACTGAGGATCAGGAATATTAAGTGACTTTCACAAGTCAAATGGCTGGGAAGGAGCGGTGCTAGGATTCCGTTTCTTAATCATTCATGTAACAGACTTTTACTAAGCATCCAGTGTATGTTGGACACCCTTCCAGGGACTGAAGACACACTGTTGAACAGTGATGAATGTCCTTGTTAACTCCTTGTCAACTGCTAAATGACAGTTATGCCTAAGCTCTGACTGAGGCTAGGTGGCGCCTTGGGAACTAACCATAGTGGGACCTGGGACTAGCCATAATGGGAGGATAGAGGGAGAGGTCTGGAAAGGCTCATCTAAGTGGAGCCTTCAATGAGCCCACATTTGAGCAGAGCTTTAAAGAATAAGTAGAAACTAACCAAGTTAAGAGAGGAAAGCCTTCCAGGCAGAGGGACTAATAATGTGGGCAATGGCTGGAGGCGTTCAACAAATGATGTATTAATATTTGTTGAACTGATGGGGGATGTGACTGTATTCAGGGACCAGATCCTGCAGGACCACAGACAAGTTTTAGGTGGGGGATGAAGTTGTTGCTGCTCTGAGGAGAACAGATTAGAGGGGGCCAAGAGTGGAAACAAGGAAGACAAGTCCGTTGGGGTGGTCCGGGGCTGAGATGAGAGTAGCTTGGACCATAGAGGAGACCATGGATGAAAGTGAAAGCAATGGTACTTCCTGAGAGGATGGATGTGGGAGGCAAGGGTAAAAATAATGTCATCCAGATCCAGTCATTGTCTGGCTTGAAACAGTGCTGGTGGATGAACATGCTATCCACTAAAATTGAAGACACCAAAGATGGGCCACAATTTGGAGGAATATGTGGAACAGTTCCAAAGAAACAGTCTATTTTGGACATATATATGGTCCCCGACTTAGACTTTCTGACTTTGGAATGGGTTTATTGGGAGGTAACCCCATCATAAGCAGAGGCACATCTGAACTTACAATGGTTCCACTTACCATTTTTCCACTTTATGGTGGGCTTACCCAGGTATTAAGCCCACCTTCCATTTACAGTGAGTTTATTGGGACCTAGCCCCATAGTAAGTCAAGGAGCATCTAAATTAAGCTTCATGTGCTTTCAGCTACCTAGATGAAGGTGCTGAATCAGCTCTGTTGTTCTGGAGTTCAGAGAAAAAGTCTGAGATGGAGATAGAAAGACCTGAGTCGTTGACTTGGAGAGAACATATAGAATGAGATGAGAGCCCAGGTATGAGCATTGATGAACTCCCATCATATGACCCAAACTAAGAATCTTCCAGGTAAAATACTGTGGATGTGCAAGGACGCAAAAATTAGTTTTAGCTGAGCAATCAGGGAAGGCCTCCTGGAGGAGATGGCATTTCAATCAGCAGAGGAAGTTGCTTTCTGTGAGAGAACAGTTGACAGAGAAATTTCTGTTGCAAATACCACCATGTTCATATTAGTCTATTGGGACTGCCATAACAAAGTATCATAGACTATGGGACTTAAACAATAAAAATATTTTTTTCCAGTCTAAAGGCTAAAATTCCCTGATCAAGGTCTGGCAAGGTCAGCTTTTGGTGAGAGCTCTGGGCTCTCTTCCTGGCTTGCTGACAGCCACCTTCTCTCTTGTCCTCACATAGTGGGATTGTATGGGGAGAGACAGGAGTGAGCAAGCTCTCTGCTGTTCTTCTTAGAAGAAGAAAGACACTAATCCTATCAGATTAGTTCCTCAGCCTTATGATCTCATTTAACCTTTATTACCTCTTTAAGGATCTATCTCCAAATACACATTGGGAGTTCGAGCTTCCATATATGAAGTTGGGGGAAGGGGGGCAACAATTCAATCCATAGCAGTGTTGCATGGTGAAGTTTAAAATGTTTTGTAGTTTTGGCTAAGGACACAGCCTAAGTGAGTGATTTTTCTCTTCCTCCCCCTCTGATAAGCCACACCTACCCACCCTCAACTCATAATCCACACGTTTAGTTTATGTTCGCTTTCTCTAAAAATAATGTGGATAAAATATATATTTTAAAATTTGCCATTTTAAACATGTTAAGCATACAATTCAATGACATTAATTACCTTTACAATGTTGTGGAGCCATCACTGTTCTCTTATTTTTAAAATTTTTCAGCACCCCAAACAGAAACTGTATTCATTCAGCAATAACTCTCTATCTCCCCACCCCCAGCCCCTGGTAACTTGTAATCTACTTTGTGGCTTATTTCACTTAGCATAATATTTCAAGGTTTATTCATGCTACAGCATGTATTATAGTACTTTATTCCTTTTTGTGGCTGAATAAATTCTACTTTATGTATATACCATAGTTTGTTTATCCATTCCATCTATTGATAGACACTTGAGTGGTTTCCATCTTTCCACTACTGTGAATAGTACTGTTATGAACATTGGTAAACACATATCTATTTGAATCCCTTTGTTTTAAAGGAGTGAAATTGCTGAGTCATATGGTAATTCTATATTTAACATTTTGAGGAATGACCAAATTGTTTTCCAAAGCAGCTGCCCCATTTTACATTCCCTGTAGCAACGCACAAGGATTCCAATTTTCTTTGTTTTTAGTTATAGCCATCCAAGTAGGTATGAAATAGTATCTTATGGTTTTTACTGAAAATTCTCTAATGATTAGGTTGTTGAGCATCTTTTCATGTGCTTATTGGCCATTTGTATGTCTTTATGTCTTTGGAGGAATGTCTGTTCAAGTCCTTTGCCCATTTTTTTTTTTTTTTTTTTTTTTGAGATGGAGTTTCCCTCTTATTACCCAGGCTGGAGTGCAATGGCGCGATCTCAGCTCACGGCAACCTCTGCCTCCTGGGTTCAGGCAATTCTTCTGTCTCAGTCTCCTGAGTAGCTGGGATTACAGGCACATGCCACCATGCCCAGATAATTTTTTGTATTTTTAGTAGAGACGGGGTTTCACCATGTTGACCAGGATGGTCTTGATCTCTTGACCTCGTGATCCACCCGCCTCGGCCTCCCAAAGTGCTGGGATTACAGGCATGAGCCACCGCGCCTGGCCCTTTGCCCATTTTTAAATTGGGTTGCATCTTTTTTTTGTTATTGAGTTGGAAAATTTCCTCAGACATTCTGAACATGAGACCCTTAATAGATAAATTATTTGCAAATATTTTCTCCCACTCTGTAAATTATCTTTTCACTTTCTTGATAGTATCCTTTGATTCACAAAATTTTTAATTTTAATGAAGTTCAATTTGTCTGTTTTTTTCTTATGTTGCCTATGATATATTGTTTAAGAAACCATTGTCTGCTGAGCACAGTGATTCACCTGTAACGCCAGCACTTTGGGAGGCTGAGGCAGGTGGATCACTTGAACCCAGGAGTTCAACATCAGCCTGTTTTGAAGTTCAAAACCAGCCTCTTTTGTAGAGACCAGCCATCTCTATAGAAAATACAAAATTAGGTGTGTGTGATGGCACGCACCTGCAGTCCCAGCTACTCAGGAGGTAGGAGGTAGGAGGATTGCTGGAGCTCTGGAGGCCAAGGTTGCAGTGAATCAAGATTGTGCCACTGAAGTCCAGACTGGGTGACAGAGCAAGAGACTCTGTCAAAAAAAAAAAAAGAAAGAAACCATTGTCAAGTCTAAAACTATGCAGATTTGCCTCTATGTTTTCTTCTAAGAGTTTTATAATATCTAAATTTAGATCTTTGACCTATGTCTAGTTAATTTTTGTATATGGTGCAAATTCATTCAAAAGATATTCATGTGGATATCCAATTATCCCAAGACCTTTTGTTAAAGAGACTGTTCTTTACCCATTGAATGGCCTTTGCACCCATGTCAAAAATCAACTATTTGTTCACATAAGTCAATGTGAACATTTATTTCTAGGCTCTCAATTCCATTCCATTGTTCTGTATGTTTCTCCTTATCTCAGTATCATATTATTTTGATTACTGTAGCTTTCTAGTAAGTTTGAACTCAGGAAATATGAGTTTTCCAACTTAGTTTTTTTCTCAAGATTGTTTTATCTGTTTTAGGTCCCTTGAAATTCCCTATTAATTTTAAGATAGGTTTTTCCATTTCTGCAAGAAACTCCATCTGGAATGTGATAGGTATTGCTTTGAATCTGTGTAATCCTTTGAGTAGCATTGTTATTTTAACAATACTAAGCCTTTTAATATATGCACACAGGATGTATTTTCATTTATTCAGATCTTCCTTATTTCTTTTAGCAACTTTTATAGTTTTCAGTGTATAAGACTTGCACTTGTTTGCATATATTCTTAAATGTTTTGTTCTTTTAGATACTATTATAAATTGAATGATTTTCTTTATCTCCTTTTCAGATCAGTCATTGCTAATGTGTAGAAATACAACTGCTTTTTTGTGGTTAATTTTATATCCTTCAACTTTGCCAATTTCATTTATTAGCACTAACAGCTTTTTTTTTTTTTTTTTAAGAACACTAGCAGTTTTGGGATATAAGATCATGCAATCTACAAATAGAGGTAGTCTTACTTCTTCCTTTCCAATTTAAATGACTTTTATTTCTTTCTCTTGCCTAATTTATCTGGTTAGTACTCCTAATATTATGTTAATTAGAAGTGGCAAAGGTGGGCATCCTTGCCTGGTTCAGTGGGCCTCCTTCAGTCAGTTGAAGGCATTAAGAAAACAAACATTGATGTTTCTCAAAGAACACAGGACTCTTCCCCAAGACTGCAACATAGAAAC